TCTTCAGCAAGGACGGTTTTGGTCAACCCCAGTCCGTATCTTATGATAAATGTGAATTTGAAAGAAGAGTGATATTTGGGAAGTGAAAGAGGAAGATTCAAACACCTCATGTTTCTACAAACACAATCAGAAACTAGCTGTAAAAAGGTTTTGTGATCAAATACAATGACACTGTCCTGTCAAGTACCTTCACAGTGATGTATTAAAAATAAACTCAAAACAGAAAATCCTGAACCTGAACAGACCTTTTCATCTCACTCTGCTGAGCTTGAGCTACAAAACAAATCAGGCTTAACACGTGATTAGATGTTCTTTTCATCCTGACACTTGTTTTTAATAAAAGTGAAAAAATAGAGACAGAAAAGTTCAACTTAATAGGGGTAATCACTTCTCTACAGATGATTAAACTTGTTTCAGCCAACTGATTTGAACCTCCACTGGCTGTACTGGACTGCAAGATTAGGATATTGAAAATATAATATAATTGATATTGTGTTGGAGACAGTGCAGAAAGTGCAGTGCATAAAACCTCAATAGTTACTATATTTAAAAAAAAAAACACAAGAATTATGCCCAGGAAGTTTTATTTTCAGATACATTACATCAAAACAAGCTGATGTCCCATTTATTTCCTGCTGCCAGAAAATGAGGAATAAATGTTGACAAGCAAAACATCACGTTTGTATCAAGTATGATCTTGTAAATCAAATTTAAATGCTAATTGCTAGTCATATGTCTCCTTTAAAGTACTATTTGGGACATGATGTGTAATTGTTTTGTGTATCACCTTAGTGTATAGATTTAAATACACACGCCTGACTAAAAGTTATATTCTAATGTAAGTCTGTCTCTTTATGACGTGTCCCTGGACCAATGCTCCATCCATCTTGCAGAATGAGACAGGTTTGTGTCTCCTGGTTTCCTGTCTAGAGGATCATCATCATTCACAGCTTGTCAGTGTTCCTTGGAAAGATCCGGAATAACGGATGTCAGGAGAAGAGCCATGGATCAACCTGTTACTGAGGACATGCACAAAGAGAAGGTGCAGGATGGGGACAGAAAGGAAAGAAGAGGAGGTGGGTAGGGAGAAAAAAGGAAAGATAGGAAGACAGAGTGAGTACAGTATGTCTGTATATAGGTGTAGAATGGATAGATGGATCATTATATGACATATGTTTGTATGTATAAATATAAAAAAGTGCACAAAAGCGTGACTCACTCCAACCAGGGGAACTGGAAAGCTTTGTTTATGTCAGGAACTGTCTGAATATTGATGATAGACGAAAGATGACGAGGTTTCTCCCCTCGTCCTCTCATAGTTTATTTGTCAGGAATTAGAGGGAGGGATGGATGGGGGATTATGGCTGTCCTGCAGAAAAAAAGCTCACTTTTTGGCATTGGTGGCAGCACAAATGGAGTTACGGAGGACAGATGTGCGGAATCAATTGCTTGTAATTGTTGTAAGCAGTTGCACATATTGCTCTTGTTGAGATGCGAGTAGAAAGGTGTGAAAGGAAACACATTACATTGTTAAACCATTACCCACCACTCAGTCAATTTGTATAGCACTTTTCATACAAGTGAAACACACACACACACAC